AAGCAAGTCCTGCCTTGCTGCCTCCTCCACCTCTCCCCATTGCCAGCTCTTCCCTTCCCTCAGCAGCTGGTTCAGCACGTAGGCACGGCGACTGAAGTTTGACACAAACTTCCTGTAATAATTCAGGAAGCCGAGTAACGCCCGCAGCCCTGTCTTATCCTTTGGCGCTGCCAGGTTCTCCAGCACCTTAACCTTTGCCTCTTGTATGGCCAGCCGACCGCCCTTCACTTCAAACCCCAGGTAAGCCACCGTGTGCCTCGCTATCTTACACTTATCTGGGTGACACGTCAGCCCCGCAGCTGCTATTGCCTCCAGAGTCTGCTTCAGATCTTGCACATGCTGTTCTTTGCTGCTGCTGTAAATCAACACGTCATCAATGTAGCATGCTGCGGCTGGAACCCCCTTCAGCACTTGATCCATGGCTCTCTGGAACACTGCTGGTGCGTTACGAAGCCCGAAAGGCATAACGTTGTACTCATACAAACCGTCCACCCCGTGAAATGCTGTTTTCCGTTTATCTGCTTCTCTAATGCCTATTTGATTGAAGCCCTGCCGCAGGTCCAAGGTGGTAAAGACGGTGGCCCCTTCCAGCCGGTCGAAAATGTCTTCAGCAGTCGGCATAGGGTATCTGTCTGGGCTTGTAATCTTGTTCAGCTCCCGAAAATCCCCGCACATCCGCTTCGCTAGAATCTTTCCCGTGATGTCCTTCCTAGCAGCCACCACCGTGGCCGCCGCGTAACTTGATTCTGACGGGCGAATAATCCCTGCAGCTAGCAACTCCTCACATTTCTCCTTGCAGATGGCTGCATCCTCCGCATTCATTCGCCTCCTGCGTTGGTATGTAGGTAGCTCAGTCGTGAGGTTCAGCTCCAGCTCTCTCCCCTTGTATCTCCCCAATTCCTGCAGGTTATAGGCGAAGGTGCCCCTATGCTGCTGCAACACCTCCCTGATTGCTTCGGCTGCTTGCTCCCCTATACCTGCCCCCAGCTCCCAGGTTTTGCCCGGCTCTGCTTCCGTCCCTACTGGTGGTGCAGTTTTGATCTCCTTCTCGTCTGTGAGCTTGCTGACAGCGGCGTAAGCAGCCTGCTTGCTGCCCCTGCACTTCTCCTCTTCCGTCTTTCCCTTTTTCTCGGCTGGCCCCTTTCTCATCTCACTAATTAGCCATCGCAGTGAGTGCTGGTCTATGGCTCGGCCCAAGGCAGCTTTGCGCACCTCCTCCCCTACTCCATCTGCTGCAGTTGCCCCCGGCAGGTACCCCATGGCTAATTCCCTCTCCAAAGCAGTCGGCTCCTCCCATCTTTTCTTACGGTGATCATACACCATCCCTGGACCTGGAGTCCCTTCCACTTCGACAAATCCCCGTGCCTTTGCATAGGCCACCAGTGTCGGCCAGGCCCTCCTCGCTTCCCCCACTCGGTTACACTGATACTGTCGCGGATGATCTGGCTTTACCACTGGGGCGGCCACTCTCCCTGGTTCCAGAATGTCTTCCACGATTCGGCTCTCATCTCTCTCCACCCTTGCTAATCTCGCCCTCAGTTCTCCTTCTGGCAGGACGTTCTGCCAGTACTGCCGCACTCTATGACACCTTGCCCCCAGCTGTGCCCCGTCACAACTCACTCCCCTTCCCAATTCTGCTTCCACCAGTTCGCGTACGGCTCGGACCGGCTCCCTGCTATCACTCCTCATATCCACATGTTCTAGGATGTACGCATATTCCCCGCCAGATTCTCTCGCCCACCTCATAATCGTCAGCAGTGTTGTCACCATCGCCGTGCGGTCATCCTGCATTCCTCTTCCCTTCCCCGCTCGGGAAGTACCCTGGCACTCCCACCCTGCTACCAACAGGTCCACCTTTCCCCAGCGGTTCACGTCTTCCTTGGTAAGCTGTCCCACATCCCACTTCTCATTCTGCATGGCCTCCCGTATCACTTCCTTCGCCAGTTGAGCTGGGTACCGCTGCTGCAGTATCTGTGCATGCTTCCAAGCCATCCTCCTCACCTCCGGGTCTATTTCCACATACACCCATCTTTTCACCTTCAGCCCTGCTTCCAGTGCCGCCGCTAAGCCTGCCCCCAGCCCTCCAAACAGCTCCACTAAGGTAACGCTATACTGGTTCAGGTTAGCTCCGACCTTGCCCTCTTTGGTACTCCCCCTCCTTACGCTCTCTCTTCTCATGCCCTCCGCCCTCCAAGCCTTCTTCGGTTCTGTCTTGACAAACCGCACTGGCAGCTCACTCAACTCCTTTCCCTCAATCCAGAAATCCGAGCGGTAGAGCACCTGTTCCTGCCAGGTACAAATTGTTGTACCTATCTTGAATAGCAGCTCCATCCCCAGCAGAACATCATAATCCTCCGATTCCGTCAGCCCACATTGCACTCTTATCGTCGTTTCTCCCTTCTCTCCCGGCTGCAGAGTAATCTCGATGGGGTCCTTAGTACAGGGCATCCACTTTGGTGCCCCTCCCTCGGCTGTCATGATCAGTATGCCTCTGTTTACTATTTCCAAGTCCCCTTTCTCCCGTAACTGTTCTGTCAGCTTCCTTCCCAGCAGGACACTCTGTGCGCCTGTATCCACCACGGCGTTCTCCACTAATATGCCCCTGACAGCCACTGCCTTAGGTTCTACCACCAGGGCCGTGGGTTGGCAGACGAGTCTCTCCTCAGGATGCCGTCGAGCCGTCCTCGGCTTATGGCTTTCTTCTTGTTGCCGAGGGGTTCTCCTTTCAGGCTGCTTCTGCTCTGTCCTGCCATCCTTCCCGCCGCTGCGCAGCCCCAACTCCTCTCGGTCTCTAGGTGGTATGGCCATGGCCCCGTACTCTGCCTCCTCTCTCTCATACTCCTCCTCTTCATCGTCCTCCCAAGCCAGCAATGCCTTCTCAGGGTCCTCACTAATCTCAGTCTTCTCCAACTGTCCCTTCAGCTTCGCCACCTCTCTCTCTAACTGTAACTCCCTTGCCGATTTTCCTCGCATTCTCTCTCCCTTGCTGTAGCACCTGTCTTCAGTATGCCCCCTTTTCCCACACCCGGTGCAGATAGGTGCCTTGGGGCAGTCACGTCTGAAATGTCCTTTCATCTTGCATGTGTCGCACACTATGTCTATGGCGCAGTCCTTCCGCACGTGCCCCTTTTCGCCGCACTTGTAACACCTGCGTCTATCTTCAGACGGCCTCTCTCTTCGTTCCTCTTCCCCCTGTCTCCCTTCCACCGCTGCCCAAGCAGGCCTCCGACGTTCGCTCGGCCGACTGGAGCTTGACCCCCTCATTCCTTCGAAAAACCTCTTTCCATCCTCCACTTCTTTCGCCACCTGGTACACCTGTCGCAGCTTCGCCCGTACCCCCAAGGAGTATAGTCGGCTTCTCATGTCTCGTATCAAGTCCCCATCCAGTCCGTTGACGAACTTGGTCACTAGGATGCGCTCCTCCACGCAGCCCATATCCTCTGCCAGCTCCAGTAAACGGTTATAGTAGGCCAACATCGACTCTGCCGGCGCTCTTCTGAAGTCTTGAAACTCCGCCATCCGGTCAGCCGAATGCCCCGGGAACTGCTCCTGCAGGCTTTCCAAGAAACGGTCCGTAATATCTGCCGGTAAGATATCTCCTCTGTTGCTCCGCATCAGCAGCCCCTGCCTCTCCACGCGGTAATGAGTCAACGCCTCTCCTTTGAGAGTCCTCCCCAAGCCTCTGAAAAATTCAATAGGATCCAGTCGCTCCCTATCCCAGCAGTAGCGAATGTCTTCAATCATCATCAGGTAGTTTTTCAGCGTGGGCTCCTCTCCGGGTGCCCCCGAGAAGCGGTCTGGTACCTCAATTTTGGGTGGTGTAGTACTCATCGACCTGCCTGTCCCCCAGCTTGTGTTCCCTCCTTCTCCACTCCCTGCAGGTCGCCCTGCTCTCCCGGCCTCCATGGCTTCGTATCCTCCAGCAGAGAATCCGTGATATGCTTCCTTGCCTCGCTGACTTCGTCGTTCCACCGATTGATCGTCTCCTCCCCTCAGACTATGCCTTTCTTCACGTTGATCTTCTCCTCCCTTCTGACTTCGTCGATCTTCATGTTGATCGTCTCCTCCCAGATCTGGATTTCCTCGGCGAGATCCACTCCCCACAGGTCGCCCTCCACTCCTCTCCGCGGGCGAGTCGCATGCAGAGCTCGACTGTTGTTCTCCGTGTACACCTCGTTCTTCCTCCCGATCCCCGCCTTGGTTACCGCGCGAGATCGTCCCTCCTTCGCCCGCCCGAAATCCAGGCATCCTGACCGGCGGATCACGTCCCTCCATCATCCTCGCCGGGAATCGGTGTCCAGAGCGCAGTTGATGAGTGTGAAGCTCACGGTCGAAATTACTCATTCCTCACGGTGCATCACCGTGGGCAACTCCAGGCAGTAGATCCTGCCACCTCTTCTCTCAACAATCGTAATCCTGACTACCCTTTTTGCTTGTATGAAACAAGACTTAACTCCCTCGCAAGGGCTCCGCCGATTTGCTTCAGCTCCTCTCTACTGCTAGTTCCCCGTGGTTTAGGAAATCACAATTGCAGTAAACGAGAAACATACAAGCAAAAAGCAACGAGTCTGAGCGCTACCCCAGTCTACATCCCCTCCTGCCTAGGTGCCTTGTCCCGCAAGCTACCTCTACTCCTAAGCGCGAGTCAGCCGAGCTGATCGCGTAGGCTTCAAGGTGCTAGCTGGGTCCCACTCGGCCCACTAGGCATGCACCGCCTTCCAGCCTGGTGAATGGCGAATTGAATTCCCAGGCTGGCTGGAATCGAATTCGCCACCAACCTCCCCCCCAACCACCTCGAAATCCTCAGCAGCTCGACTCTGTATAGTACAGTAACATTCCAAAAGAGCAAACAAAGTAAAATGCAAAAAGCAGTAAACTATAGTACACCTCACCTTGGCTGCTGTGTAATTCACACTTAGTTGCCAGCTAAGTGTTAATCACGCGACAGCGCCCATGTCGGGAATGGAGCACCCATCGTTGCCATGCCTGCCGTCCCCTCCCTAACATGCCTGCCCACCCACCGCACACCACGCACACCTCATGGTGGAGTACAAGTGCAGCACCTTCTGCACCATCAACCTTCCCACCCCATGCCCAGCCCCTGCTGCCCGCCCCCCATGCCCTTCCCGACCCCCATGTCCAACCACCCATGTCCGCCCCACCATGCCCGCTCCCCACATGTCCGGCCCCCCATGCGCACCTCGTGCCGCTGGTGCAGCACCTTCTGCAGCATGCGCCGGTCCGCCTGGAAGCCCGAGCTCACCAGCACACAGCGGTCCGAGCTGGCGGGCAGGGGGCGCGCGGAGAGGGGTGGTGGGAGAGGGGAGGGGAAGGCGCAGGGCAATTGGGGTGAGGGGGGAAGCCCGAGCTCACCAGCACACAGCGGTCCGAGCTGGCGGGCAGGGGGCGCGCGGAGAGGGGTGGTGGGAGAGGGGAGGGGAAGGCGCAGGGCAATTGGGGTGAGGGGGGAAGCCCGAGCTCACCAGCACACAGCGGTCCGAGCTGGCGGGCAGGGGGCGCGCGGAAAGGTGTGGGGGTGGGTGGGAGAAGAAAAGGGGAGGCGCAGGGCAAGTGGGGTGGGAGCGGGGACGGGGAATGCGCAGTGCAACGGAGGTTAAGGGGGAAGGGTGCAGCGCATGAGGGGTTGGGAGGAAGACGCAAGGCAAAGGGGGCGAGAAGGGACGCTGAGAGGCAACAGAGGCAGAGAAAGGAAAGAGAGAGGCTGAATTCCACAGCACAGCGACACACGGCTGGAAAAAGGAGTAGCTGTGGGAACAGACCAACAGGCGAACAGGGAGTGAGGGGGAGAGGGAGTTGAGGAAGGTAGGGGAGGAGAGAGAGGGTGGTGGGGATAAGGGCGACGTGGGCGGAGGAGCAATAGGAGCGGGGAGAAGGAGATGAGCGATAGAGGTCGGGGGGCGGGAGAGCAGGGAGCAGGGCGGACATGCGGAAGATCTTGGAGGCGGAGCGCGTGTAGATGCTGTAGCCCGTGGACAGGCGCGTGTCGCCCGCCACTATCGCGAAGTCGCTCCCCGCCACCGCCATGCTCGTGCTGCGGGCGGGGGAGGTGGGGGTGGGGGGACGGACGGACGGGGGGAAGGGCGAATTGGGCGGTTGGGCGACGGGGGAAAGGGCGGAGAGGAGGATGGGCGGATCGGCAGGTACGGTGGATGGGCGGATGAACGGATGGTTCGGGTGCGGGAAGCGCGGAAGGAAGGATGGGCGGATGGGACGGACGGGCGTAGTGGGGGGGGGGGGGGGATGGACGGATGGGCGGATGGGCGGATGGGCGGATGGGCGGATGGGCGGATGGGCGGATGGGGCAGACAGGGAGGATGGCGAATTGGAACAGGGTCGGAATGTATGAACTTGGATCGGCACTTCCAAGAAGGTGCGCGCGAGAGGAGCTGGCAAATGGACGATTAGAGCGCAAGCGGAGCGCCCCCATCACCCTGCAGCAAGTGGCTCGCATACGAGCGGAGCGCATAGTCGGCTGCCGTACGGCCGCAACGGCGACAACTCCAAGGACCGCCCGCTTCTACCGCGGAAATCTCGCAGTCCTACACCGTACAAACGCAGCAGGGATCGATATTTCGCGAATTCTCATCGCGAATGGTAAAGGTGTAAGCCTCGGGATCTTACCCGCCGTTGTTGTCGTACGGGCTCCAGTGCGCCATGATGCGCTCCGCGGCGCCGCTACAATCTGCAGAGTGTTTGCCTGTTTGCGGTTCAGCTGAAACGCGAGCTTCGCTGAACAAAGCTTTTCGTGTTGCGATGGAGATTAGGCGACGGTAGTTACGTACGGCGGGAAGAGGAGGTAATCGGTCTAGCTAGTCGAGGGAATTAGCAGACTGATGTGGATGCGGGCGATAGAGGGATCTGGGATGCTGGGTTGAGCCTCTTTCACATTCATTCTCGCTACAAACACTTTCAACTTGGGTGCTTCTTTGTCCCTGCAGCCCTTTGCATAAGCAACACGTTCTTGAAGATGAAGATGTCTAGCATTAGCCACTGAAATTGATGGAATTATTGAATATGCGTTACTCTGGAGGAGCTTCATGCGTTGCTCTGTATTGCCATGCATTTTCGCTTGCCAAGACGGATGTAAGCAGTTCCATTCCGAGCTTTAGTCGCAGAGGTCTATTTCGCGAATAGCACCGACCAGAAGGTTCTGCCTGCTCCGGGCTTGGCCGTGCGAGGCAGCGTTGACCACACAGCGGGGCTTTTCGCGCTTCCTCTCAGTCGCGCACAGCCGAAAACAAAGGCTGGCCTGGCTGGCAGTTAAGCGGCGGTTTGGTTCGGTTGAGTGCGAGGAGGAAGAGTGAGAGTGCGAGCAAGACCATCACCACGCCCATGATCATGAGAGCGTGTCAGCCCAGCAGACACAGCAACACCCAACCTGACCAAACCTCTCAGGTTTCGCCGCGTCTTGGCGGCCCAACAGTACAGTCCGATGAAGCGTCTATGACGCCGTGGGTAGCGACGATAGTTATTTAAATGTGCGTGCGCCATGACGTCATGCTCGTTGTGTGCGTCACCTCACTCAGCTTCCATCCAATCCCGCGGATCGCCGCATTGCAGCACGATGTTAGGTTATGCCGCCTCTGCTGCCATCTGTTACCGCTTAGTGAATCGACTTAGGTAGCTAGTGTTCTATTTATACCATTAAGTACGACGTAGCTATTGAAAATAGTAACTTTAAAAGGGTTTAGCTTTTAGCGGATCAGCCAGCTCTGAAACGGAAGCACCCAACGCGCGGCATGCTCTAGCCATCCGTGCCTGCGCCGTTCTCACTCGTACGCAGCGGGTGTGCCGTCGTACCCGCTATACATTCGCTCGTTATCGCGATGGGGTGCGCCGTGTCGGTGGAGGTGGCCGGCAAGGACGACGCGGGGGGGCATAGCAACCACGCAGTTTCGCAGAAGCCGACAGGGAAATCCGTTACAGTGCAAGGTACTGTAAGACGTCGCGGCGCGAGTGATATAAACAGCGTATGGAAGCGAGAGGGGGGGGGAAGGGTGCAGCGAGAGGCATATGCGGCTGCCATTTCCGTCATTCGGTCGTCGTCTCGCTGCTGACTGCGCTCTCGTGTTTCCCTCTCTCTCGTGTGCTTGACCGTGCCATCTCCCGTCCCAACCTCTGCCCCCTCACCTTCTCCCTGCGTGCCGCCCATCATGCCCCCCCGCCCATCATCCCCCCCCGCCCATCATGCACCCCCGCCCATCACCCCCCCCCGCCCATCATGCCCCCCCGCCAGAATCGCAAATGACAGCCACGACGGAGGTCGACGCGCGCCCGACGGACGCGGTCGAGTCGACGGCGACGGAGGGCGCGCGGCCGCTGCGCAAGTTCAAGCTGCGCGAGGTGCGCGACATGTGCGACGGCTTCTCGTCCAAGTGCCCCGTGCTGGGCGAGGGCTCCTTCGGCATGGTGTATCGCGGCAGCGCGGAGCTCGACGGGCGCGCGGTCGACGTGGCGGTGAAGCGGCTCAGCGCGGAGAGCCAGCAGGGCGTCGACGAGTGGCTGGTGCGTGCCGTGCGGGGGTGTCTGCAGGTTTGGGGATGCGTGCCGGTTGGGGGGTGACTTTTGAGTCGAGTCAGAAATTAAGCCGCTTGGATGGTGCGCACAGGTTCGGGGGGTGCGCACAGGCTTGGGGGATGCGCGCAAGCTTTGGGGGTGCGCGCAGGCTCTGGGACGTGCCCGCTTGTGGGGCACGCATACTTGGGAGGTGCGCGTACGTTTGGAGGTTCCGTACAGGATTGGGGGGTGCGCACAGGCTTGGGGGGTGCGCACAGGCTCGGGGGGTGCGCACAGGCTTGGGGGGTGTGTGCAGGCTTGGGGGGTGTGTGCAGGCTTGGGGGTTGTGTGGCAGTGGGTGGGGGTGCTTGCTGCTGCCTGCGGCCGTGCCTTTGAGGCGCCTCAAAAGTTGCCTTTGCGTTGCCAGCGGGGTGAGCGAGGATGGAGGCACACCTCGTGTATCGCCCGTCTTCTCTCCTCTCTTCCTCCCCTCGCCTCCCCCACCCCGCATCCATCCATATCCTCTCCTCGCACCTCTGGCTCACTCCCTCCCACCCCCTCACACCCCCTCGCACCTCCTTCCCCTCACCTCCCTTCCCCTCCCCATTTTCACCCCCCTCTCTCTTCCCTTCCCCACCTCGTGCACCGCTGGGTGCCCGGCGCTGAGCAGGTGGAGGTGCTGATACTGGATCGGCTGCGGCATGCGAATCTCACCCTCTTCTCCTCCCTTCCCCATGTTCACCCCCGCCCTCGTCCTTCCCCCCCTCGTGCTCACCTGGGTGCGTGTGCCTGGCTGTGTGCCTGGCTGTGAGCAGGCGGAGGTGCTGATACTGGACCGGCTGCGGCATGCGAATCTGGTGGAGCTGGTGGGGTACTGCAAGGAGAAGGGCGAGTGCCTGCTCGTCTACCACTACTACGCCAACGACAGCGTTGAATCCGCCCTCTTCAACCGTAAGCCGCTTTTCTGATTCCTTCCCTCCAATTCCTCTCTCTCCCAGCTTTTCTCTCAAGATCCAACAAACCCCCTCATTCGCCCTTCTCTCCCATAACCACCAGCCTCAGCCTCGCCAAGTAACGGGTCCTTCCACTCACCGTCATTCAACCTCCTGTCCACCCCATCCCTCTCTTTCCCCCATCTCCGTTCCCCTCTCCCCACACCCCCCTCCCCCCCCCCCCCCCCCTCTCCCCCACCCGTCCTTCGCCACTTACCGTTTCCCCCACTCTTCTCCCTCCCCCGCCGTACACCCATCCCGCCGTCCTCTCCCCATCTCCCCCACTCTGTGCATGCGGGCAGGCAAGCGCGCGGGGCAGGAGCCATTCTCGTGGGAGCGGCGGGTGAGCGTGGCGTGGCAGGCGGCGGAGGCGCTGGCGTATCTGCACGCCAATGATGTCATCCACCGCGACTTCAAGCCTTCGAATGTTCTGCTTGATGCGGTGAGCGCACTGGGGGTTGGGTGGGGAAGGAGGGGGGGTTCAGGCGCTGGCGTATCTGCACGCCAACGACGTCATTCACCGCGACTTCAAGCCTTCCAACGTGCTGCTCGATGCGGTGAGCGCAAGGGGAGGGGTGGGAGGGAGATTCAGGCAAGCTGGCATGGTGCTGGGTGCTGCTGGGGTGAAGTTTGAGGCACTGGCGTGCTGCTTGATGCCGTCAGTGCAAGAGGGGTGGAGAGGGGGGGGAGGAGAGGGGTATGGGCAGGGGAAGGTGGGGAGGAAGGCACTAGTGGGAAGGGTGCGCCTGGGTGACTGGTCGTGCATGGCAGGTATGTCATTGGGGAGGTTGCTGCTGTACAAGTAATTTGTCAGGCTGGGAGATTTGGCCAAAGTGGCAAGGTGGTGGGTGGGCGTGGAGCAAGCAAGGCTGCTCACCTTCCATGGCAGCGTGTGGTTGGGTTGACGGGGGGCATAGGGCGGGTGCCATGACCGTGACCGTGGGGGATGGGGAGACGAGCAGTAGGCCCCATTACACCTTCTCGTGGAGTGGAGTTTGGGGGAGACTTCACGTGTCGCAATATCAGGAGGCAGATAAGGGTACGAGTACTGAGAAGGTGTATATACTGTATATTTGTACAGGTTGTCGAGTGCAGAGGTATCGGGGATTGGGACCGAGGCTGGTGTGATGGATGGGCGATATTGGGCTGCCGAGTCAGCCAACAGACGCATGGGAAGATGGTGCGGGGACAGCTGGAGGGAGCTCGTTTGTTTCGTGTGACGAATGCATGTTTGCTTTCTTGCAGGATGAATGCCGAGCCAGCTGGATTTGCAGGCACGAGCTGGAGGTCAAGCAGTGGGCGGCTAAGTGGTGGTGGAGAGAGGAAGGGGGGGGGGTTGTTCTTTCACTATGGGGGAAGTTATCCCTTCGTAGAGTTTCTCTGGAGTAGCTGCAAGGGGGAGTGAGGACGCAGGCTAGAGTATAGGGGGGAACGGCATAGTTCTCTGCATTGTTTGTATGTTCTGTTTTACTCATGTGATTGCAGCAAGAATCGCGTGACGGATTAGACAGGCCATAACAAACGTAGGTGATTACTGATGAAGATGTGAGAAGGTTTATCGGGTAGATGTGAGTAAGCACGGACTGCTTATCACATACAAACAATCCTCGGTGGCGATAGTATGCGCACAAGGGGTGGAACGGAATACGGCGAAGAAACGGGAAGCGAGAGCGCGGAGGCGACGGTGAAGGAACAGTCGGGCACGATGAACGAGGGCACCGACACTAGGGCTAACGAAGCTCGAGACGATGGCTCGCCAAGGCGGGAAGCGGAAGGAGTGAATCGGCCTGGAGGCGGAGAGCAGGGATCCGCGGAAGCCGTGAAGAAGGATGCGCGATCGGAAGGACGACCGATGCGTGATGCAGAGGAAGGACGACCGACTGGCTCTTACCAGCAGAGCGCGTCATGGCAAGAAGACGCCTCGGCGCAGCGGTGGAAGTACACGCTCCTGCCGAAGATCGAAGTCCCGGAACGCTTCTCTGGTGATATGCGGCGAGGTCCAACGATTAAGAACTACGTGATGCAGCTGGATAATCTGAGAGCTCGATGGGAGAGAGATCGGCTGGACCCGGAGGAATTCTTCAGAGGTCTCGCGAACACTCTGACAGGCGAAGCGGAAACCTTCTATCGGCTCAGTCGGAGGGAACTGCTGGAATGGACCGCGCGAGCAGCACCAGGAGAGAGAGATCCGACCGCTCGTTTTTTAGCGCTGCTGGAAGATCAATTCCCGACGCAGACGCCAGAAAGGGTGGCGGAATTCAGGGAATTCCGTCGTCGCACAGGAGAATCGCTATTGGCCTACTACGGTCGGTTGGTGGAGCTAGCGGAAGACATGAGCTGCCACGACTCGAGTCGATTGGTCAGCAAGTTCTTAAACGGCTTGCACTACGAGCTGCGACGAGATGTAGCGGTTCGGGTCTTCGAAATGGGAGCGCAAGCTACGCTGAAGGAGGTGTATGAAGTGGTGAAAAGAGTGGAGGTGGGACGAAGGCTATGCGAGATTGAAACAACGGCTGAAAGGAGGAGGCCAGCCTGGGCAGCCACACCAGCGGAACGGGAGAAGCCACCACGTGGGCCGGGAGAAGAGCGACGCTGCCATAACTGCGGCCAGCTGGGACACCTGCGGCGAGAATGTCGTAACCCACCGGCGTGCTCCACCTGTGGGAGCGAGGAGCATCTGAGGAGGGACTGCCCTGAGGCGCCTACCTGTGACCGTTGCGGAAGAAAGGGGCACCAAGGGAAGGACTGCTACGCAACCAGGAGGGAAGGGAGGTCGCGGAGAGATCCCGAAGAGGTCAAAGCGCAGATTGCCCGACTACAAAGGCAGCTGGAAGAGATGTCCGGATCAGAGCCGAAGGGAAATGCTATGCTAGCGCGAACCGACGAGGAGGAAGACGAGGGAAGCGAGGCCAGTTTCGCGCTGATGGCCCGACCCGTGAGAGAGAGGGATGAAATGGGACTACGAGCACGGCGTCGATATTTCCCACAAGAAATCCCAATACGGGAGCGAGGGCCAAGGAGAGACACCAACGAGGAACGTGCTGCCGGGGCGGCGCGACGCCATCCTCTGGAGAGGATGGCGTGTCAGCCGTCTGTGCTAGTGGTGGAACCAGGAGTGATGAGTATTGGAGGCGTCAAAGTCAAACAGGCGATCGTGGACACTGGAGCTCACAACGTGCTGATCGGGGCGCCCATGGAAAGGCTGCTGGGGTTGGATCGAGAGGACCGAGTCATATCGGAGGGCTACCTGTTGATGACAGCTGAGGGAGGCACAGCTAAGTGGATGCCGAAAACACGGAGTACGGTGGAGATTGTGATACGGCCTGGGCACCAGGACGAGTGTATCGTGCGGATGCACTGTGGGATCTCGACGTCGGAAGATTATGACTTGCTGCTGGGGGTAGAATACCTATTCACCATTGGTACCACCATCTGCATGTGGGAAGAACGGCTGAAGTACCGTGTGACATACTGGGAGAACGATGGTGAGCTGGCGGAGCTACCGGTGCAATTCATCAGGAGGGAACCGAGAGAGGCCTACCAGGCCACAGAGAAGCCGCTGGAAGAGGAGCTGAGCATCCGGACATGGAAGGAGATGGGACAAATGGAGGCAGCCAGGAAGCAGTATGAGGAGATCTGGGGGGCCAGCGATAATCTCCGAGAGCCGGTGCTAAACCTGAGAGCGCTGCAGAAGCCGCTGGTGATCCTAGAGCTGTACGGGGGAATAGCCACAGGGCTAGCGGCGGTGCTGAAGTCAGGCCACACGGTGGCCAAGTACCTATACGTCGACAACGACGGCAACGCCAACCTGATGGCCTGGCACCACGTGAAACTGCTGAAGGCCAGATATCCTGAACAGCTGATGGAAGATGCGGCGGAGCGGGGTGCTGAATGGTTGTGCCGCGGGGCGGAGGAGATCGACGATAGTATGCTGGCGCAATGGGGACGAATCGATCTGGTAATCGCGGGATGGAGTTGCCAGGGGCTATCGCGTGCAGGAAAGGGGAGAGGCATGGGTGATGAGAGGAGCACGCAGTTCAGAGATCTGGTGCGGGTGCTAAGAATGATCAAGAAGCGGCAAGGGGAGGTGGCCTACATCATTGAGAACGTGGACCTAGCCGATAACCCTCGCCCGGCGGTACAAGCAGCCAACGCCGAAATCACAGAGGAGCTGGGGGCAGGGGTGGCATGGGATGCGGCGCAAAATGGGAGCAGGTCACATCGGCCAAGGAGGTACTGGCAAAACGTAGCGCCAGAAGCGGCCCTGAGGTACCAGCTATCACGGATGGAGAGGCCAAGGGCGCGGCGAGTGGATGACATACTGGAACCGGGCCGGGTAGCTGCGCCGGTGAAGGAAGCTGATCACCCAACGCTATACCCCTGTAACAAAGTGGGAGAACCAAGAGAGGCTTGGCCGACGCTGGTGTCGTATGAGAACGCAAGGGGCTTCAGACAAGAGGAAGATCCGGGCATGGTATACGATCTAGCACGTGGGGTATGGGAAGAGCCTACGGCTCAGGAGAGGGAGCTGGCCATGGGATTCCTGGCAGGTGCAACCGCTTGTGAACAAATGACCGAGAAAGAAAGGAAGGAGGCTTTGGGCCGGGTCATGGATTTGAACGCGCTGCAGTGGTTGTTCATGACCATGGCCAATCATCTCGAAAGGAAGTGGCTAGAGAGGCGTATCGGCAAGGCGACTGCTATGAGGCCCGAGACGTTGCTGGCGGCAAACAAGGAAACGAAAGCGAGGACAATGCTGGGAGGACTGGACGAGAAGGAAGAAAACCAATGGTGGAAGGGGGTCCCGGAGGAGCACAGGAGGGCTAGCTGGAGAGATGACCGGGAAGCCATACCAGGAAGGTATGCCGACCCTCAAGAGGACGAGGAGGAGGAGGAGGTTGAGGTGGATGAAGAAATGGAAGAAGAATCCGGGTTGGGAAGAGGGGACACGCCTGAGGAATTCCATGACTCAGACTTCGACATGGGGGACGAATTCTACGACTACTACGACCCACCGGACTGGCCACCTGTAGGGCGAGCCTACATGGCGCAGGAAGCAGCAACAAAGGAAGAAGTGCCGGTGACCCGGTGAGGAGAAGGGACTTCTGAAAGAGGGGTGGAAGAGGCAGTGAGAGTGGAAGGAGACCAGAGTGCCTGGGATTTGGGTCCCGGGCTGCAAGGGGGGCACCGGCAAGCAGTGGAAGAGCTACTGGCGTTACATCGCGAGACGTTCGCCTATTCGCTCAAGGAATTGGGATGCTGCAACTGTGCAGTGATGACACTCGAGCTAACCACGACGGTGCCAGTCTATCAGAGGAGGCGCCGAATGAGCCCGCAGGACTTGGAAATATGCAAAGAAAAATGCCTGGAACTGCTGGAGGCAGGGCTCATACGTCGCTCCGAGTCGAAGTATGCAGCAGCAACGGTGGTAGCGGCAAGGGTGGATCTCACGGGGACGGTGTTAGCGCGCCGGATGTGCGGTGACTATCGAGACCTAAACAAGGTGACAGTCCCAGAGAGATATTCGACACCCATGGTGGACGAGCTGTTCGACCAACTGGCGGAAGCACGGCTGTTCTCGACGCTGGACATGAGGCAAGGGTTCAACCAGATCCCTATCGCGGAGACCGACAAAGCCAAGACTGCCTTCCACGGCCCTGACGGGGCGTACGAGTGGAACAGGATGCCCTTCGGGCTGAAGAACGCCTCCCTACTGTTTCAGAAGGTGATGGATGCGGTCCTACGGGGAATGACTGGGGCCCTGTGCTACATTGACGATGTCATCGTGTTCAGCGCTACCCCAGAAGAACATGTACAGCGATTGGTTGAGGCACTGCGGAGGATCAAGGAGGCGGGACTCACCTGCCACCCAAAGAAGTGCCGCTTCGGACACACGACGGTGACCTACTTGGGATTTGAAGTAACGGGGGGCAGGCTGGCGATACAGCAAGCAAAGGTGGCTATCCTGGACCAGGTGACGCAGCCCAGGGATAAGAGCTCGTTAAGGGCCCTGCTGGGGTTCTTAAACTACTATCGCAAGTTTGTGGAGAACTTCAGCAGGAGGGCGTCACCTTTGAATAAGCTACTCAAGGACGATACGAAGTGGCAATGGGGTGAGCAGCAGAAGGAGGCGCTGAAGGATTTGATGGGAGCTGTTAAGAGTGGTGCGGTGCTGCAGCTGCCTAGGGCGGACTTACCATTCGTGCTGTACACGGACTGGAGTAGTACGGGCATGGGAGCCATTCTCAGCCAGCAGGAGGGCGGGGAGGAGAAGGTGGTGGCTTTCGCCAGTCGCTCCTGTAACCCAGCTGAGGCAAACTATTCATCATACGAGGGTGAGGGGCTGGCGGCGGTATGGGCTGTGGGTCACTTCCAAGTGTATCTGCAAGGCAGACCTTTCACACTAGTGACGGATCACCAGCCACTGCTATGGCTAATGCAGAACCAGAGTCTCACGGGACGGAATGCCAGGTGGGCCATGAAGCTGCAAGAGTATCAGTTTACCATCCGGCACCGTCCAAGGAAGACGATGCAGCATGTGGATGGCTTATCTAGAAACCCGCCGGCGGTGGCGCCTGAAGTGGCCTTGGCGGTGCTAGCGGCAGATCCAGTGACGCCGTTGCGTCAAGAACAGCAAGCAGGAGCAGCAGACATCTGGGAAGATCCGGAGACACTTGCGTGGCTGAAGGGGGCGACCTCAGAGGGAGCGCAGGTGTCAGCCAGGGCCAGGAGCAGGGGGCAACACTACCGCTGGTACCAGGATCAGGTGCAGATCAGGACGCAAGACGGCTGGAAGAGGGTGCCTGAGCCGAAGGAGCGGGAGGGAGTGATACAGGAGGTGCATAACAAGTTGAGGCATTTTGGCCCGCTCCGCACGCAGCAGCTGCTGCAGACGGGACGGTGGTGGGCAGGGATGAGGAAAGAGATTAAGGACTGGGTCGCCAAGTGTCCGGCGTGCATTCGAAACCGGGCGGTATTTGAGAGGAGCAAGGCGGAGCTACAGCCTCTGCCGATCGTGGGGCTGGGCTATCGGTGGTCCTTAGATCTTGCAGGAGAACTGCCCCTTACCAAGCGAGGACGCCGATATGTGGTTGTGATGATTGAGCACGTGAGCAAGTGGGTCGAGGTGCGGGCTGTGAGCCACAAGACGGCGGAGGCTGTGGCGGATGCCTTTGAAGAGCAAGTACTGACACGCTTCGGGGCATGTGGGGAAGTACTGACGGACCAAGGCACCGAGTTCCAAGGAGAGTTTGAAGAGCTGTTGGCGTCATGTCTGATTCCGCATCGCACCACGTCCAGGTATCATCCGCAGAGCGACGGCCTGGCTGAGAGGCTCATCCAGACTCTGAAGCGAGGACTTCGGGCCTATGGGGAGACGAGGAAGCGTGAATGGGACAGGCACCTCCACTGGATCATAGCGGGCTACAGGTTTAGCAAGCAGGTCGCCCTAAAGGATTTATCACCATACCATCTCCTTTTCGGCAGGGAAGCGGTCTTACCCGTGGGGGCACCGCGGGTGCTGACAGACGTGGTTACAGCAGGCACAGCAGAAAAGTGGGCAGCTTTGGCGGCGGTGCGAGGGGAGTACCTGCGGCGGCTGTTGCCGGCGGCGCTGGAGAGTCTGCAGGTGGCTCAGCTGAGGGATATTCACCGCTACCGTCAGCGGCAGGAGCAGAGAGCTGGCGGAGCACCACAAGCACTGCAACAGGGCCAAGAGGTATATATCCGACGTCCTAAGAAGGATGGGCTGGACGTGGGGCTGTCACATCAGCGGTGGACGGTTAGGGAGGTGAAGGAATCAGGAGTGCTGGTGCTAGAGAGTGAGGCTGGAGTGCGCGCGGTGGATCATGTCACTAATGTGGCCAGGGCCGGCGGAGTGGCAGCAGGGTGTCAAGGTCCCGTGACTAGGGCGAGGGCGGCGCAGTGTCACGGGAGGGGGCAAGGTGTAACTGCACATCAGAAGGAACGGGTACAGAAGTAGGGAGATGCATCAACAAGTGGGAAGAAACAGGAGCTGAGATGGAAGTGAGCAGGGGTTACAGGCAGAAGAGGTGGAGTAAGAGACTAAGAGGGGCTTGGCCGGACAAGAGTGAAGATCACTGGAAAGGGAGTAAGAGGGGAACATGGCGAGGGGAGGAGAGGTAAGGGAATTTCCGACAGCTGTCGCAATATCAGGAGGCAGATAAGGGTACGAGTACTGAGAAGGTGTATATACTGTATATTTGTACAGGTTGTCGAGTGCAGAGGTATCGGGGATTGGGACCGAGGCTGGTGTGATGGATGGGCGATATTGGGCTGCCGAGTCAGCCAACAGACGCATGGGAAGATGGTGCGGGGACAGCTGGAGGGAGCTCGTTTGTTTCGTGTGACGAATGCATGTTTGCTTTCTTGCAGGATGAATGCCGAGCCAGCTGGATTTGCAGGCACGAGCTGGAGGTCAAGCAGTGGGCGGCTAAGTGGTGGTGGAGAGAGGAAGGGGGGGGGGTTGTTCTTTCACTACGGGGGAAGTTATCCCTTCGTAGAGTTTCTCTGGAGTAGCTGCAAGGGGGAGTGAGGACGCAGGCTAGGGTATAGGGGGGAACGGCATAGTTCTCTGCATTGTTTGTATGTTCTGTTTTACTCATGTGATTGCAGCAAGAATCGCGTGACGGATTAGACAGGCCATAACAAACGTAGGTGATTACTGATGAAGATGTGAGAAGGTTTATCGGGTAGATGTGAGTAAGCACGGACTGCTTATCACAGGTGTAACTGCACATCAGAAGGAACGGGTACAGAAGTAGGGAGATGCATCAACAAGTGGGAAGAAACAGGAGCTGAGATGGAAGTGAGCAGGGGTTACAGGCAGAAGAGGTGGAGTAAGAGACTAAGAGGGGCTTGGCCGGACAAGAGTGAAGAGCACTGGAAAGGGAGTAAGAGGGGAACATGGCGAGGGGAGGAGAGGTAAGGGAATTTCCGACACACGCCTGCCCCGCATGATATCTCCTCCTTTTGCTCAAATCCGTCCCCTCCTGCCACTCCAGTGCTCTTGTCCACGCCACACCTCACTCACCACATCCCTTTCCCCTCCTCCCCAAATGCTTCTGGGTGGTGGCATTGGCGGCGGGGCTGGCAGGACTGGACGGCGAAGCTGAGCGACTTTGGGATGTGCAAGGAGCAGGAGGCGGGCAAGTCGCACGTGTCCACGCGGGTCATGGGAACTCTGGGATACCTCGACCCTGACTACATGGAAACAGGTGCCTCCCTCACTCTCTCATGTGCCTCGCACACTCTCACATGCCTCGCACACAACCAGATGCCACGCACAACCTCAGGTGCCACTCACAAGCTCAGGTGCCATTCACAAGCTCAGGTGCCATTCACACGCTCAGGTGCCATTCACACGCTCAGGTGCCATTCACACGCTCAGGTGCCATTCACACGCTCAGGTGCCATTCACACGCTCAGGTGCCATTCACACGCTCAGGTGCCATTCACACGCTCAGGTGCCATTCACACGCTCAGGTGCCATTCACACGCTCAGGTGCCATTCACACGCTCAGGTGCCATTCACACACTCAGGTGCCATGTGCAAATCCAGGTGCCACGCACAAAACCAGGTGCTAGGGGCACAGATTGCGCGGTGAGTAGCTGACGGACACACAATGATGCAGAAATGGCAGTGATGCTGACGGACACACAATTCTATCCACAGGTGCCCCTGTTTCCAGCACACCTGCATGAGCTCTTAGTCACCACCTTTTCCCCACTTACTCCCTTTCCCCCCTCACAACCCTTTTCTCTTCCCTCTGTTCCCCCCCCCCCCCCCCCCCCCCCCCCTCCCTCCCCGACAGGACTGCTGCGGCAGAGTTCAGACGTGTACGCCTTTGGGGTGTTTCTGCTGGAGCTGATCACGGGCAAGCGCGCGGTCTCAGACACGGGGCAGCCGCTCACCAGCTGGGTGTTCCCGCTGCTGGACCAGAAGAAGCCCGAGATCGACCTGCTGATTGACTCGGCGCTGGAGAGCAGCTTTGACCGCGACAGCGCGCTCAAGATCGCCGTGATTGCCAAGTTCTGCATCGGGGAGGAGGAGCTGCGCCCCGAGATGACCGCCGTCGCTGAGAGGCTCAAGAAGCTCGTCGCCTCGTGACCAGGGCTGGGGGCTTGTGACCATGGCAAGGGGCTCGGGACCATGGCAGGGCTGGTGGCTCGGGACCATGGCAGGGCTGGTGGCTCGGGACCATGGCAGGGCTGGTGGCTCGGGACCATGGCAGGGCTGGTGGCTCGGGACCATGGCAGGGCTGGTGGCTCAGGACCAGGGCTGGGGGTTCGTGACCATGGCAGGGCTGATGGCTCATGACTAGGGCTGGTGGGTTTGTGACCATAGCTGAGGGCTTACCGTATGAGCAAAGCTGGTGGGCTCATTGCCATAGTGGTGGGCTTGTGACCATTAGCAAAGGATGAGATGGTGTGAGCTATTGGCACGGGTGGCACAGGTGGTAGAGTGGTGATTGGTGGCGCTTCAGTAGTAATGCTATGTTGTAGGGCTGCCACCGAGTCAAGAAGCAGTTGAGTTTCACCACCCATGCGAGAAAATCCGCACATGTGAAGACAAAAATAGCTAAAGTATGATAGGTTAGGGTACATTCAAAATCAGTTATTTTCCGGTTGCGAATAAAAAGACCACCGCTGCGGACCTGATCCAACCGCTTGGACCGGAATGACGAGGAAGGAAACAATGTCGCGCCCATTTATGCAAGCCACCTGCAGATGAGAGGGTGGGTGTTTGTGTGTTACTGATACGGTATGTTATTCCGAGTCGCCTCGCCTCGCGCATATCTCTGGCGTCCGGACCCAATTTAAATTTCGTGGTTCTCTTCGGAGCTCCGTATGCCGCACTTCGTTTTTGGGTTGCGAAGCAACCCTTTACAATCGATTTTGACAAATTTTCTTTCCATGTTTTTTATTTAACACGAAAATAAAATTCGTAAGCTACAGTACCATCCTTCCCATTGTGCATATATTAATTTCTTTTTTATTATAGTAGTTTTTTGCCTATATGCTATACTGTTTGCGTTTTATGTTTTACTGCTTGCCGTTGTTGTGATAATTGCATGTAAAAAATATTACGAATATGAGTAATGAAGTACATACCACGCATGCTTAAATGAATGTAATGCGGCAAGATATATAGATGCATAATACTGATACATGGATGAAAATGCTTTTCCATGAAGCGAAATGCTGAAATGCAACATACGAGATGTCATACAAATGCGTGATAGTTAACGACCCAAAAACTAGGCTACCGCATCCCCTGCCTAGCATGGGGGGGAAGTCAATAGCAAAGTCTTTGAATAATAAACCAACACATGAAAAAATGCAATCTGTTAACTCTAAAAAAGAGGTTCACACTATCAAATCCAGTTCGAAGTGGCAAACACACGAGTCACTGAGTGCGCCAATGAACCAATGAGAAATGATAGAAATGAACCCCTTTTTTTAAATTGACAGACATGCATTAATATTGCAATGATCAATGAGATGAATGCACTCTCACAATCAAACACATTCACACAATCAAAAGCACAAACAGCAGCAAACCCAGCCAAAACACGCGATAATAAATAACATGCAAATCAACATTAAATGGACAATATGACAAGATAAATCCTGAAAGTGACCGATACACATTTTCCAGATTCAAATCCCCTTCCTGAGCAGCAAGACTCCTGAGAAACGGGTTTAGAATGTAGAAAGGAGGAACGAAAGAAATAGTCGGTACAAAAAAAAAAACAGAAAAGGAAATGAGGTGTGATGAAATGACGAGATGCAGGAATAACCAAGAAACGAATGAAACAATACAAGGGCTAAGAAAAACGCCGTGAGCATTGAAAGGTTAGAGCCGACAAATAGAAAGGAGGTACAGAGGCATAAAACGAAAGTAAGGAACGGGAACAGAGGGAAAACACATAAGAGCTAGGTCGTACGGAATGAACGAACGAAGGAGGACATGAAGACCATGCAAGAGGATGTGAAACCGAAAGTTAGAGAAAATAGGATGTGAGATGACGGACTGAAAGAAGAAGAGAAGAGATTAGGAAGAAATACGAACTGGAATATCTAAATAAAAAAACGGAATATGTAAACGGAGAATGCGCAGGACGCTGAGTGTCATCATCGGCATCTAAGAATAGAGGAAGTAAAGCTTACCTAAGAAGCTGTAGGTGAGAGTGGCGGCCTCTCCCTTAGCGCGCCTGGCACGAGCAAAAAGTCACCAACGCGCCAAGCACAAGCAGAACGATTCCAGCAAGAAGTTACAAGAGGGAAAACAAAAGAGAAACACGGACGGAGAGAAAATGAGAAGAGAGATAACAATAGCGGATGGAGAGAGAAGGAAAGGAGAAAGACATACGGAACCTTGAATATGCAACAAAACAGGAGTAACAAGGTAGCAAAAACGAAGGCATGATACAAAAAAACGGAAAGGTAGTCTTCACGTGACGAAGGCATGATCTCGAGTTAACTTTCTCCTAGTCAACTTAAGTAGGCTAACGATAGTCTTAACAAACTAGCAACACTTGCTACTCCTACTCTTCCAGCTGCTGCTACTCTCTTACCTAGAAACTGGAATAGCGTGACAGACAGGAGTGGTTGGAGAAGAAGCAGAGGAAAGGAAAAGAAGGAACGTGAAAAACCTAACCACCTCATTCGTCGCGTAAAACTGATTTGTTAAAAATACGAATGAATATCGACGGGTTTAACTCAATGGTTGAGTTTGGCATCAGAATCGGAAGGTTGCAGGATCGATTCTGGTAGACGAATTTAACCCACAGAAAAGTTTGTAGTTAAATCTTAATGAAGATTGTTTAGTTTTTGAACATCAAATACAACGTATACAACTAGACAAATAGCTTCGCAACCCTAGGTCGACTTTGTCGCCTCTTGTTTTTTTTCTCCTCCGTGAATTCACAGTTTCCTCCTCCTTCAGGCCGTGCCGTAGCGTGCTCGTGCCCTTGGCGTGTTTGTGCTCGTGGCTCGTCCCTGCGATCACCCCGCGCCGCTCGCCCCTTGCGACGATGCGACGAGAGGATTAGAGAAGAGGGGAATGGGAGGAGCCGCTGTGATAGGCGCGTTAGAGGCCGAACCTCTCTGCTGCAGTGCGCTTTGCAGTTTATTAGTGCACCGTAACTATAGCCGCCACCTTTTATTAGACACCTCGCGGAACGTGCGCTCGTCGCGGTCGTCTGAAATTGGCGCGCAATTTGTACATATTTCCCTCTCAGGTGCCAGTCCGCTTTCGCGCCTCCGCCTCTCCGCCTTTCCGCCTCCCCGCTTCTCCGCCTCTGCACTTCTCCGCCACCCTCTCCGCCCTCCGCCCGCGCGCCATGGCGTTCCCGGAGCTGCTGGCGCGGCAGGCTTCCATCTATTCGCTCACGCTCGCTCGACGAATTACAGGCGACGTTCGCAGGCCCGTCGCACGCCGTCGCATCCATGGCCATGGACGACTTCCTGCGATCCGTCTGGCTCGCCGAGGAGTCGCAAATGCTCGCCGCCGCGCACGCCGCCGATGGCGCGGATCCGCGCGCGCGAGACAAGGCAGCGGGGCTGCTGCGCGCGCGCTCGCTGCGGCGGCAGAAGTCAGCCGCGGCGCTTCCGCGCGCGCTGACTGCGCGGACCGTGGAGGACGTGTGGAAGGATATTCAGGCGGAACTAGCGGGGGAGGAGGAAGCTGCGGAGGGGGGCGGAGCGTCGGCAGAAGGAGCGCGCGGAGGGGGGGAGGCGCAGCAGCAGCAAGCGCAGGGGCAGGGGCAGCAGCAGTAAACACGGCAATTGTCGTTTGCGGAAATTACACCGGAAGATTTTCTGGCGCGTGCAGGGATTTCCAAAAAAGAGCTTATAGGGGGGATAGAGGCTATAGGGGGAGAGCCGGGGGATGGGGAGGAGGCGAGTGGCGGAATTGGCAGCAGTGCGCGGAGAGAGGGGGAGGGCGGAGCCGGCGGGGGCGAGGGGGAAGGTGGAGGGGGGAAAGAAGGGGGGCAACTCACTGGAACGGACGGGCGGATGGGGAGCGTGGGGGAAAATGGCCGCAGTGCTGACGTGGCACATGATTCGAAAGCTACAATGGCGGCAACAGGGTGGGAACTCCACCCACATGCGGGGCCAGCAGGGCAGGCAGGCAGGACAAGCAGATGTGTCATTCCTGCAGCAGCACAAGAATCAACTTCACTCGCAGTAGCAGCACGGGGGGCAGGGCGGAGGCGAGGGAGGGAGAGCGAGAGGAGGTGGGGGTGGGGGCGGAGAGGGAGGAAGGAGAGGGGAGCAGGCGATGCAGCAGCAGCAGCAGCAAGCGGTGGTTTAGATGGCAGCAGCAGCAGTGGCGGACGCAGGGCACAGCCACGTGGCATCTGTCTTCGCTGCCACACGCCACGCTGCCGCTGCTGCCGCTCACTGGGAGCGCTGGGGCCGCAAGGAGGGGGGTTGCTGGGGTCACTGGGAGTGCAGGGAGCGATGGGGGCAATGGGGTCGTTGGGCGCCCCCCCTGCTGGGCTTGCCATGGGGATGGGCGTTGGCGGAGGCATGGGGATGGGTGGGGGGATGGCACCAACTACGTATGGCGTGGGCGCAGGCATGGGCGCAGGCATGGGCGCAGGCATGGGCGCAGGCATGGGCGCAGGCATGGGCGCAGGCATGGGTGCAGGGGGGCTGGGGGGACTTGCTGGGGCGGGCATGGTGGCGGCGGATGGGGTGGGGGGCGGGGGGGAGAGGTGGGGGGGCAGTGATGGCGGAGGGGGAGGGGGGCAATCGGATACAGGCGGGGGGAGTGGGGATGGAGACACCCTGAGCGGGGGCGTGGGGGGGAGTGCGGGGCGGAGGGGGAGGAAGCGGAGTGGGGAGGGGGGAGGGGCGCCGGTGGAGAGGAGGCAGAAGCGGATGATCAAGAATAGAGAGTCGGCCGCTCGGTCCCGTGCAAGGAAGCAGGTACGGTGAGGTTGCTCTCTCTCCTAACCACATGCCATGCTGCCCTTCCTTTCCCACCACCCCCTTAGCTCACCTCACCTCACCTCACCGCACCACACCACACCGCACCACAAAACATGGTGGAGGTGCTGTCCTCCTCCCCATACCCCTCACCCCCATGTTGCCTGCCCCCACTTCCCCCCTTCCCTTCAGGCGTGCACAGTGCAGTTGGAGGCGGAGGTGGCGCAGTTGAAGGAGGAGAACCCTCCCCCTCCCCCTCAGCCCCTTCCCCCTGTCACCACATGCCATGCTGCCCTCCCCACCCTTCAGGCGTACACAGTAGAGTTGGAGGCGGAGGTGGCGCATTTGAAGGAGGAGAGCGAGCAGCTGCGCGCTCAGCCCTTCCCCTCTCCTTAACCCCGCCTCAGGCATATGCAGTGGAGCCTGAATGTGAAGGTGCCCTGAAGCCTAACCACATGCTCTTCTTCCCATGCCCCCCCCCCCCCCAGGCGTATACAGTGGAGCTGGAGGCGGAGGTGGCGCAGTTGAAAGAAGAAAATGAACAGCTGCGCTCCCAGCTTCAGCTGCTGCAGTCGCACACGCATTCACACCCCAGCGTGGTGAGTGCACATTGCGCATTGAGTGAACGAAGCACGGCGTGCGCATCCTTTCTCAGCTCGAGCGAGCGAGTACTCGCTAACATCACTGTCGCTGTCACTCAGCAGCGCAGCTTGTGTGCATTGAGTGGACGAAGCACGGCATAGGACATGATTCACACACAATGGAATTATGCAAAAAGCCGTGCTTTAACGGCACATTCAGCTGAAGTTAGGAGAAATAGAACAAAAGGCGACTGCGAACCTGCAGAATGAAACGAGCTGGCTTGAAAGGGATATTGACTCGGTGCTGGGAATTTTCAGCCCAGTTCAGGATGTTCTTCACGTCCGCCTCCGTGACGTGGTCATTGTCGCAGTTGCGAACGGTGGACTCCAGCATGTACTTGAGAAAAATTGGCAGTTCATCTGCATGATAAGAGTGAATTAGTTAGACCGAGCTACTGGAAGGAGATTTAACTGAAAAACGAATAGTAAAATGAGGTACCGATGCGAGAGTCCTTGAGAGCCGGGAGGCTGTAATACGAGCCGAAAGATCCACCATCTGGGTTCGGCAGCTCGGTCAGATACCGCTAGAATGGGTTCGGCATGGCTTAAAATAACACTATTTCGCGTGGTAATGAGAGAGCTATGAGGGATCTGATCGAGCTGATCACCAAATGAGCTAGTCTGCTGCCTGGATATCTTGTCGTGGTTGTACGAAAGCAGGAATTCGGGAATCTCCACTCGAAATGGTAGTCCTAACTTGAAGTTGCAGAACCATGACAGCGTCGACGCTGCCATGGATTCTGTCAGGGACCTCCTCGAGAACGTCGAGTGTGTTATTTCTTCTGGTTTTCAGGCTAGATGGAGCTTTGCGGGGATTTTACTGGCCAATGAAACGACCCGCTGAGAAAGTGGCTCGAGCGGTGCGGCTGCTCAAAATGTGTTCGTGTACTGTACCTTCATTTTGACAGAGAGTACAAATTGCATTTTGGTTTGAACTGTCAGTTTTCTATTTTTGGTTTGCATTGTCAGTTTGCAAACGAATTTAATAAGGACGCGTATTTCTGTGGGGGGGTTGTTGGATAACGCTGGGCAGGGTTGAACATTCTAGGAGGTGGTAGACGTGGCACTAATTTTAGTTGCCGGAACTCCTTTACGCCAGTTGGTGTAACTTCTGCGTAAGGTGCGGAAAGTGTCTGGTATGGTGAAGAATTTGTGGATGGCAGGTGAAGTTTAGCTGATCGATTCATCCTTCAAATCTGACGGGGGCATCTGAAAAAAACAATCGATGTTTGACAAAGAGATTTACGCGAGCCAATAGGATTGAAGGTGTTTTTTCTCAGCCTTGCACAACCACAAACTGTGCCTCGTGTTTCCGAAGCAGCCACACCTAATTCCTCACTGGTCGCTGTCCTCGTTTCGCTGCTCGTTTGTTAGCGTAAATGGCTGATGATTGTTAGGTAGGATCTCAACGGAGTGGACTTCGCGTCTACTTACCTGAAATCGGCGAGGATTAAACGCTGCGATACTAAGGGTCGCACAAGTTATCGCGCGTGCTGCCTGATTCGTCCGCACGGAGGTGCGCGTGAAGATAAATGTTTGCGCGGAGATATCGAAAACAATAAATTTTAGACTATAATCCGCTGCGCGCACGGAAGTGCGTGCGGAGGAACGCGCGGAAGGCCGCGCGAAGGAGCGCGCGGCGCTGACCTCCGCCGCGACGAACGACGCGTGATCGCCAGGTGAGGCGGTGCGGGGAGGGGAGGGCGCGGTGGGGAGGGGGGAGTTGGTGGGGGGAGGGCGCAGTGGGGAGGGGGGGAGTTCGCGGCGCTGCCCGTCGCCGCGTCGGATGTGGGTGCATGTTTGCCCTCGCCGCCACACCTCTCCGCTTATCCGCCACCATCCCCCCTTCCTGCCCACCACATCCTCTCTGCCCGCTCTCTTCTGCCAGCTTTCCCCCACCCGCTTCCCCCTCTCTATCCGCCCTATCTGCCACCCTTCACCTCCCCTCTCCCCCCATTGTCCGACCCTGGCTCTCGCCAGAGCGGCAGCAGCACGCACAAGATGCGGCGTGTCATGGGGCTTGTGCAACCAAGGCAAGCTGGGGGGAAGCAGGGCAGGGCGTGGGGGCAAGCAGGGTGTGGGTCAAGCTCCCTTCCCGCAAGCCCCTGGCTCCCTCCCTTCAAGGCTGAGAAAAAACACCTTCAATCCTATTGGCTCGTGTAAATCTCTTTGTCAAACATCGATTGTTTTTTTCAGATGCCCCCGTCAGATTTGAAGGATGAATCGATCAGCTAAACTTCACCTGCCATCCACAAATTCTTCACCATACCAGACACTTTCCGCACCTTACGCAGAAGTTACACCAACTGGCGTAAAGGAGTTCCGGCAACTAAAATTAGTGCCACGTCTACCACCTCCTAGAATGTTCAACCCTGCCCAGCGTTATCCAACAACCCCCCCACAGAAATACGCGTCCTTATTAAATTCGTTTGCAAACTGACAATGCAAACCAAAAATAGAAAACTGACAGTTCAAACCAAAATGCAATTTGTACTCTCTGTCAAAATGAAGGTACAGTACACGAACACATTTTGAGCAGCCGCACCGCTCGAGCCACTTTCTCAGCGGGTCGTTTCATTGGCCAGTAAAATCCCCGCAAAGCTCCATCTAGCCTGAAAACCAGAAGAAATAACACACTCGACGTTCTCGAGGAGGTCCCTGACAGAATCCATGGCAGCGTCGACGCTGTCATGGTTCTGCAACTTCAAGTTAGGACTACCATTTCGAGTGGAGATTCCCGAATTCCTGCTTTCGTACAACCACGACAAGATATCCAGGCAGCAGACTAGCTCATTTGGTGATCAGCTCGATCAGATCCCTCATAGCTCTCTCATTACCACGCGAAATAGTGTTATTTTAAGCCATGCCGAACCCATTCCAGCGGTATCTGACCGAGCTGCCGAACCCAGATGGTGGATCTTTCGGCTCGTATTACAGCCTCCCGGCTCTCAAGGACTCTCGCATCGGTACCTCATTTTACTATTCGTTTTTCAGTTAAATCTCCTTCCAGTAGCTCGGTCTAACTAATTCACTCTTATCATGCAGATGAACTGCCAATTTTTCTCGAGTACATGCTGGAGTCCACCGTTCGCAACTGCGACAACGACCACGTCACGGAGGCGGACGTGAAGAACATCCTGAACTGGGCTGAAAATTCCCAGCACTGAGTCAATATCCCTTTCAAGCCAGCTCGTTTCATTCTGCAGGTTCGCAGTCGCCTTTTGTTCTATTTCTCCTAACTTCAGCTGAATGTGCCGTTAAAGCACGGCTTTTTGCATAATTCGATTGTGTGTGAATCATGTCCTATGCTATGTGTGCCGATTTATGTCCTTGTACTGCTCGATCAGGACTTCGCTCGCGTTCCTGCTGGTGTGAACCTCCTTGCGATAACGAACGCGATGGATAAGCCCGGCTGCGATCTTTCTACCATCAATCCTCAGGTGCATTTCAAATCTCCGGACGCCTCTTGATGTTCTCCCTTCATTCACACACATAAGGCTCATGATTTTTTTTTGTTGAAGTCGCTGCACCGTGGTGTTGCAGATCCCACCTCCACCTGTCCTTTCCCCCCACACCAGACCCGGTCTTCCTGCTCTCCCCTCTCGGCATGCACTCGCGCAACCTTCAGTTCGACCCGCGCTGCACCGTGGTGGTGCAGATCCCACCTCCACCTGTCCTTTTCCCCCACACCAGACCCCAGTGACTCAGAGCCAGTTCTGTCCCTTACCCTCCGTTCCTTCCTCTCCTCCCCCTTCCTCTTCCTCCCCTCCTTCGCCCAGCTGCCTGTGGATTTGGTGATCAACCACCCAGTGCAGGCGGACTACGCGGAGGCGTCCAACCAAGTGAGCCTCAGCACGGAGAGCGAGGTGGAGCGCAACAGCGAGCGGCTCGCTTTCTTCGAATCAAGCTTGACGACGGGCTCCAGAGAGATTTTTTTGGTCCCCCCCGGTGCTGGCATCGTGCACCTGGTCAGTTTTCTGCTAGTGCCCGAGGGTCTCTGCGCTGAAGCCTACTTTTGAGGCGTCTTACAACTATCAACACCCATGCAACAGAAAATCACCACGATATATTGACCTGCGATATAACTTTCCACATTGTACACGCAGGTGAATCAGGAGTACCTGGCGCGGGTGGTGATGGAGGTCAACGGGCTGCTCTACCCTGACAGCGTCATCAGCACCGACTCCTGCTCCACCTTGATCCATGGTCTCGGCATCGTCGGCTGGGACGAGAGAGGGTCTAAAGCCAAAAGTGCCGTGCGCGGGGAGCCCATAAGAATGGACCTCCCCCAAGTCGTGGGCGTCAATATCACGGGAAGGCTCCGAGCGGGAGCCACGGCCACGGATTTGGCAATGGCGTGCATGAAGAATCTACCCAGCATGCTGAATACATGTGTGGAGTTTTACGGCGAGGGGACGCGGGAGCTGTCTGTGGAGGACCGGTCGACAGTGGCGAACATGCTGTCGGGGTTTGGGGCGGCCATGGGGTTCTTTCCAGTGGACTCGGTGACGCTGCAGCACCTGAGGGACACGGGGCGCGATGAGGCGAAGGTGAAACAGGTTGAGGCGTACATGCGCGCCAACCACCTCTTCCTGGACCACGCCACGGTGAGTCGATGTTACCAGGTGTGCTACCACCTATTCATGGACCATGCCCTTGGCTTTCGCATGGTAACGAACGTGTTGTGTTCGGATTTGACTAAATGCACACGGGTGCATGAGCCAGGTGCAAGTACTTGTCGTTTCTTGCGCTGCACCTTGGTACTGTATAGCCCTGCGTCTGAATTTCATCCGTATGCTCCCTTCTATCCTTGCCTTGTCATCCGTTTCACCCGCAGGCTGGAGAGGCGGAGGCCAAGCCCAAGTATTCCTCCTACCTCTAGCTGGACCTTGCGGCCGTGGAGCCCTGCGTCTGCGGGCCCCTCATCTCTGGGCCCGGCGTCTCCAGACGCTACTGGTAACCCATGGTTCTCTGGTCGCAGATGGGCAATAATATGCCCCGTTCCGTTGTTGCTCTACATCTCTGTTCCTCCTACAGATGCTTTCCTTCTCAAGTTTCCCCCTTCCCCGTACCCCCCAAACCCCCTTTACTCCTTCCTTCCCTCATCCTCTTTTGAATGGTCTTGTTCGGTTGCCTTCCTTGCTTGCTTCTCTGCAGGCCGCATACATTTGTCAACCTCAACACCATGAAGTCGGGCTGGGAAGAATGCCTCAGAAAAACCGTCCGTTCAAAGGCAATGCTTCCGTGTTATCATAGCATGTTTCAAGGCTCCCTGCCTCGTACACTCTGACTGCTGTGCTTGCCTAGCCTGGTCATTGCTGCCATCGCCTCCGCACAACCCGTCCAACCTCTTCTCTCATGCCTCAACCTCTCTGCCAGTGACTCACTGAATTGTTTCGTCTCTACCACCCGATCCCCTCTCTTGGTCTCCCTTCCACAGGGCTTCGGCATCCTCCCGGACCAGCAAGGAAAGAGTGTGCCGGTGACTCTCGAGGAAGGGGTGCAAATCCAGCTGAAGCACGGGTCCGTGGTCATTGCCGCCATCACCTCCTGCACCGGCGCGCTCAACCCGGCGGAAATGCTGACAGCAGCCTTGGTGGCGAAGAAGGCGAGTGAGAGGGGGCTCCAGGTGAAGCCCTGGGTGAAGACGGGCCTCGCCCCTGCCTCCAACGTTGTCACCAAGTACCTTGAGGCCAGGTGAGTGAGGGTTGTGCTTGGTTTGTATTCCAAGTCAGAAGGTTTTGACTTAATTCAAGAGGTTAATAAAGGAAGGCAATGTGGTAGCAGCATATAGCAGCAACCCTGGAGGGCTAGATAGGGAAGGGACTAGTTATTCTCATATACGCTCCTGTTGCTCTTGACTGTACTTCAAGTTCTACATTAATGAAAGGACCATTCGAGAGGGGGCTCCAGGTGAAAGCGTATGAGAAGGTGAGCCTGGCTCCTGTCTCCAACGTGGTCACAAAGTACCTTGAGGCCAGGTGAGAGGAGTTTGAGGTTCAAGGCGGCTCACACGGTAAGGTTTTCTCAGGTGCAATGCAGTTGAAGGATTCTAGTGAACGATTTAGGAAGGGGTTTCGTGAAAGATGCAGGGGAACGTGAGACTCCTCAAGGTGGGGGTAGGGAAGAGGTGGTGGTGCTAGTGCAGTCCGTCAGTGATGCCGGCAGCAGCCGTCGTGGCGGCAAAGGTGAATGAGAGGGGGCCTCGGGGAATGCGTATGAGAAGATGAGCCTTCCCCCTCCCTTGGTGCAGCGTCGCCACCAAATACCTTGGGGCCAGGTGAGGGAGGGCTGGGCACGGAGATTTCAAGTCTTTAATATGCCCCCCTTGGTTTGCAGCTGGTTTGCAGTGTTATCCTCCCGGCTCTTTAGGGCATAGGCGGCTGCCTGGCGTGCATTCTGTCTCTTTCCTTCCTCCTCTCCTTCCTTATTTGCCCCTCTCTCCCCATGTGTGCAGCGGTCTCCTGCCAGCTCTGGAGGGGCAGGGCTTCCACGTGGTGGGGTATGACTGCACCACGTGCATTGGAAGCTTGGCAGAGATTTCAGAGTCTGTTAAGGAGGCCATTTCTGACAACGGTACGTTGCAGTGGCATACTCTACAATAGTAGCGAATTTGGTTCTTTGTCTTGACACATCCTATGTTCTCTTATCTCCTTCCTTTCACCCGAGCCAAATACCCTGCACTGCATCCCCGTTCCCCATCTCCCTTCCCCCGCTCCCCTCTCCCTCGCCCCCACTTCCTCAACAGGTCTGGTGGCAGCAACAGTGCAGTCTTGTAACGGTACCTCTGAGGGGCACGTGCATCCTCTCTTTCGGGCTAACTACCTTGCATCGCCGCCCCTCATCGTGGCATATGCGCTCGCTGGCACGGTGAGTGTTCAGTTTGCTGGCCTGAATTTGTTTGACTTATGATAAAAACATGTAATCATAATGTCAGATTAAAACGTTATTCGCCAAAACCGGATATTTATCTTGTATCACCCGCCTTTGTTCTCACGCACTCACACCGTTATCCAATAATTTCTCAGGTGGACTAGAACTTTGAAGAAGAGAGCATTGGATCGGACAAGGACGGCAAGGAGAGAATGGGGCGGGGTGATGGAAAGCGGGAGAATGGTGCAGGGTGATAGAAAGCGAGAGAATGGGGCGGGGTGATGGAAAGCGGGAGAATGGGGCGGGGTGATGGAATGCCGGAGAATGGGATGGGGTGATGGAAAACGGGAGAATGGTGCGGGGTGATGGAAAGCGGGAGAATGGGGCGGGGTGATGGAAAGCGGGAGAATGGGGCTAGGTTATGGAAAACGGGAGAATAGGGCGGGGTGATGGAAAGTGGGAGAATCGGGCGGGGTGATGGAAAGCGGAAGAATGGGGCACGGTGATAGAAAGAGGGAGAGTGGGACGGGGTGATGGAAAGCGGGAGAATGGGGCGGGGTCATGGAAAGCGGGAGAATGGGGCGGGGTGATGAAAGGTGGGAGAATGGGGCGGGGTGATGGAAGGCGGGAGAATGGGGCGGGAGAATGGGGCGGGGTGATGGAAAGAGGGAAAACGGGGTGATGGAAAACGGAAGAATGGGGCGGGGTGATGGAAGGAGGGAGAATGGGGCGGAATGATGGAAAGCGGGAGAATGGGGCGGGTGATGGAAAACGGGAGAATGAGGCGGGGTGATGGAAAGCGGAAGAATGGGCGGGGTGATGGAAAGCGGAAGAATGGGGCGGGATGATGGAAAGTGGGAGAATGGGACGGAGTGATGGAAGGAGGAAGAATGGGGCGGGGTGATGGAAAGCGGGAGAATGGGGCGGGGTGATGGAAAGCGGAAGAATGGGGCGGAGTGATGGAAAGCGGGAGAATGTGGCAGAGTGATGGAAAGCTGGAGAATGGTGCAGGGTGATAGAAAGCGGGAGAATGGGGCAGGGTGATGGAAAGCGGGAGAATGGGGCGGGGTGATGGAATGCCGGAGAATGGGATGGGGTGATGGAAAGCGGAAGAATGGTGTGGGGTGATGGAAAGTGGGAGAATGGGGCGGGGTGATGGAAAGCGGGAGAATGGGGCGAGGTGATGGAAAGCAGGAGAATGGGGCGGGGTGATGGAAACTGGGAGAATGGGGTGGGGTGCTGGAAAGCGGGAAAATAGGGCGGGGTGATGGAAAGCGGGAGAATGAGGCGGGGTGATCGAAAGCGGGAGAATGGGGCGGGGTGATGGAAAGGGAGAGAATGGAGTGGGGTGATGGAAAGCAGGAGTTTGGGGCGGGGTGATGGAGGGAGTGAGAATGGGGCAGGGTGATGGAAAGCGAGAAAATGGGGCGGGGTGATGGAAAAGAAGGAAAATGGGGTTGGGTGATGGAAGGAGGGAAAATGGGGCGGAATGATGGAAGGAGAGAGAATGGGGCGGGGTGATTGAAAGCGGGAGAATGGGGCGGGGTGATGAAAAGACGGAGAATGGGGCGGAATGATGGAAAGCGGGAGAATGGGGAGGGGTCATGGAAATCGGAAGAATGGGCGGGGTGATGGAAAGCGGAAGAATGGGGCGGGGTGATGGAAAGCGGGATAATGGGACGGGGTGATGGAAAGAGGGAGAATGAGGCAGGGTGATGGAAAACGAGAGAATGGGGCGGGTGATGGAAAGGAAGGAAAATGGGGTTGGGTGATGGAAGGAGGGAAAATGGGGCGGGGTGATGGAAGGAGAGAGAATGGGACGGGTTGATGGAAAGCGGAAGAATGGGGCGGGGTGATGAAAGGAGGAAGAATGGGGCGGAATGATGGAAAGCGGGAGAATGGGGCGGGGTGATGGAAATCGGAAGAATGAGCGGGGTGATGGAAAGCGAGAGAATGGTGCGGGGTGATGGAAAGCGGGAGAATGAAGCGAGGTGATGGAAAACAGGAAAATGGGGCGGGTTGATGGAAAGAGGGAGAATGGGGCAGGTTGATGGAAAGCGGGAGAATGGGGCGGAGTGATGGAAGGAGGGAGAATGGGGCGGGGTGATGGAAGGCGGGAAAATGGGGCGGGACAATGTGGCGGGGTGATAGAAGGCGGGAGAATGGGGCGGGTTGATGGAAAGCGGAAGAATGGGACGGGGTGATAGAAGGATGGAGAATGGAGCGGAATGATGGAAAGCGGGAGAACGGGGCGGGGTGATGGAAAGCGGGAGAATGGGGCGGGGTGATGGAAAGCGGAAGAATGGGCGGGGTGATGGAAAGCGGAAGAATGGGGCGGGGTGATGGAAAGCGGGAGAATGGGACGGGGTGATGGAAGGAGGGAGAATGGGGCGGGGTGATGCAAAACGGGAGAATGGGGCGGGGTGATGGAAAGCGGGAGAATGGGGCGGGGTCATGGAAAGCGGGAGAATGGGGCGGGGTGATGAAAGGCGGGAGAATGGGGCGGGGTGATGGAAGGCGGGAGAATGGGGCGGGGTGATGGAAGGCGGGAGAATGGGGCGGGAGAATGTGGCAGGGTGATGGAAAGCGGGAGAATGGGGCGGGGTGATGGAAAGCGGAAGAATGGGGCGGGGTGATGGAAGGAGGGAAAATGGGGCGGAATGATGGAAAGCGGGAGAACGGGGCGGGGTGATGGAAAGCGGGATAATGGGGCGGGGTGATGGAAAGCGGAAGAATGGGCGGGGTGATGGAAAACGGAAGAATGGGGCGTGGTGATGGAAAGCGGGAGAATGGGATGGGGTGATGGAAGGAAGGAGAATGGGGCGTGGTGATGGAACGCGGGAGAATGGGGCGGGGCGATGGAACGCGGGAGAATGGGGCGGGGTGATGGAAAGCGGTAGCATGGGGCGGGGTGATGAAAAGCGGGAGAATGGGGCGGCGTGATGGAAAGCGGGAGAATAGGGCGGGGTGATGGAAAGCGGGAGAATGGGGCGGGGTGATGGAAAGCGGGAGAATGGGGCAGGGTGATGGAAAGGGGGAGAATGGTGGGGTGATGGAAAACAGGAGTTTGGGGCGGGATGATGGAAAGAGGGAGAATGGGGCAGGGTGATGGAAAGCGAGAGAATGGGGCGGGGTGATGGAAAGGAATGAAAATGGGGCTGAATGATGAAAAGAGGGAAAATGGGGCGGGGTGATGGAAGGAGGGAGAATGGGGCGGGGTGATGCAAAGCGGGAGAATGAGGCGGAGTGATGGAAGGAGGGAGAATGGGGCGGAATGATGGAAAGCGGGAGAATGGGACGGGGTGATGGAAAGCGGAAGAATGGGCGAGGTGATGGAAAGCGGAAAAATGGACTGGGTGATGGAAAGCGGAAGAATGGGGCGGGGTGATGGAAAACGGGAGAATGGGGCGGGGTGATGGAAGGAGGGAGAATTGGGCGGGGTGATGGAAGGAGAGAGAGGGGCGGGTGATGGAAAGCGGGAGAATGGGGCGGGGTGATGGAATGCGGGAGAATAGAGCGGGATGATGGAAAGCGGGAGAATGGGGCGGGGTGATGGAAGGAGGGAGAATGGGGCGGGGTGATGGAAGGAGGGACAATGGAGCGGGGTGATGGAAAGCTGGAGAATGGGGCAGGGTGATGGAAAGCGGGAGAATGGTGCGGGGTGATAGAAAGCGTGAGAATGGGGCGGGGTGATGGAAGGAAGGAGAATGGGGTGGGGTGATGGAAAACGGGAGAATGAGGCGGGGTGATGGAAAGCGGGAGAATGGGGCGGGGTGATGGAAAACGGGAGAATGGGGCGGGGTGATGGAAATCGAGAGAACGGGGCAGGGAGATAGAAAACGGGAGAACGGGGCGGGGTGATGGAATGCCGGAGAATGGGATGGGGCGATGGAAAGCGGGAGAATGGTGCGGGGTGATGGAAAGCGGGAGAATGGGGCACGGTGATGGAAAACGGGAGAATGAGGCGAGGTGATGGAAAGCGGGAGAATGGGGCGGGGTGATGGAACGCGGGAGAATGGGGCGGGGCGATGGAACGCGGGAGAATGGGGCGGGGTGATGGAAGGAGGGAGAGTGGGACGGGGTGATGGAAAGCGGGAGAATGGGACGGGGTGATGGAAAGCGGAAGAGAATGGGGCGGCGTGATGAAAGGCGGGAGAATGGGGCGGGGTGATGGAAGGAGGGAGAATGGGGCGGGAGAATGTGGCGGGGTGATGGAAAGAGGGAGAATGGGGCGGGGTGATGGAAACCGGAAGAATGGGGCGGGGTGATGGAAAGAGGGAGAATGAGGCGGAATGATGGAATGCGGGAGAACGGGGCGGGGTGATGGAAAACGGGAGAATGGGACGGGGTGATGGATAGCGGAAGAATGGGCGGGGTGATGGAAAGCGGAAGAATGGGGCGGGGTGAAGGAAAGCGGGAGAATGGGACGGGATGATGGAAAGAGAGAGAATGGGGCTGGGTGATGGAAATCGAGAGAATGGGGCGGAGTGATGGAACGCGAGAGAATGGGGCGGGGTGATGGAAAGCGGGAGCATTGGGCGGGGTGATGGAAATCGGGAGAATGGGGCGGGTTGATGGAAAGCGGGAGAATAGGGCGGGGTGATGGAAAGCGGGAAAATGGGGCGGGGTGATGGAAAGCGGGAGAATGGAGTGGGGTGATGGAAAGCAGCAGTTAGGGGTGGGGTGATGGAAAGAGGGAGAATGGAGCAGGGTGATGGAAGGAGGGAAAATGGGCGGAGTGATGGAAAGAGGGAGAATGGGGCGGGGTGATGGAAAGCGGGAGAATGGGGCGGGGTGATAGAAGGAGGAAGAATGGGACGGAATGATGGAAATTGGGAGAATGCGGCGGGGTGATGGAAAGCGGAAGAATGGGCGGGGTGATGGAAAGCGGAAGAATGGGTTGGGTGATGGAAAACGGAAGAATGGGGCGGGGTGATGGAAAGCGGGAGAATGGGGCGAGGTGATGGAAGGAGGGAGAATGGGGCAGGGTGATGGAAGGAGGGAGAATGGGGCGGGGTGATGCAAAGCGGGAGAATGGGGCGGGGTGATGGAAAGCGGGAGAATGGGGCGGGGTCATGGAAAGCGGGAGAATGGGGCGGGGTGATGGAACGCGGGAGAATGGGGCGGGGTGATGGAAAGCGGGAGCATGGGGCGGGGTGATGGAAAGCGGAAGAATGGGTCGGGGTGATGGAACGCGGGAGAATGGGGCGGGGTGATGGAAAGCGGGAGCATGGGGCGGGGTGATGGAAAGCGGAAGAATGGGTCGGGGTGATGGAATGAGGGAGAATGGGGCGGAATGATGGAAAGCGGGAGAACGGGGCGGGGTGATGGAAAGCGGGAGAATGGGGCGGGGTGATGGAAAGCGGAAGAATGGGCGGGGTGGTGGAAAGCGGAAGAATGTGGCGGGGTGATGGAAATCGGGAGAATGGGACGGGGTGATGGAAGGAGGGAGAATGGGGCGGGGTGATGGAAAGCGGGAGAATGGAGCGGGGTGATGGAACGCGGGAGAATGGGGCGGGGTGATGGAAAGCGGGAACATGGGGCGGAGTGATGGAAAGCGGGAGAATGGGGCGGGGTGATGGAAAGCGAGAGAATAGGGCGGGGTGATGGAAAACGGGAGAATGAGGTGGGGTGATGGAAAGCGAGAGAATGGGGCGGGGTGATGGAAAGGGGGAGAATGGTAGGGTGATTGAAAGCAGGAATTTGGTGCGGGATGATGGAAAGAGGGAGAATGGGGCAGGGTGATGGAAAGCGAGAGAATTGGGCGGGGTGATGGAAAAGAGGGAAAATGGGGCTGGGTGATGGAAGGAGGGAAAATGAGGCGGGGTAATGGAAAGAGGGAGAATGGGGCGGGGTGATGGAATGCGGGAGAATGGGGCGGGGTGATGGAACGAGAGAGAATGGGACGGAATGATGGAAAGCGGGAGAATGGGGCGGGGTGATGGAAAGCGGAAGAATGGGCGGGGTGATGGAAAGCGGAAAAATGGGCTGGGTGATGGAAAGCGGAAGAATGTGGCGGGGTGATGGAAAGCGGGAGAATGGGGCGGGGTGATGGAAAGAGGGAGAATAGGGCGGGTGATGGAACGAGGGAGAGGGGCGGGTGATGGAACGCGGGAGAATGGGGCGGGGTGATGAAATGCGGGAGAATGGGGCGGGATGATGGAAAGCGGGAGAATGGGGCGGGGTGATTGAAGAAGGAAAAATGGGACGGGGTGATGGAATGCGGGAGAATGGGGCAGGGTGATGGAAGGAGGGAGAAAATGAGGCGGGATGATGGAAGGAAGGAGAATGGAGCGGGTTGATGGAAAACGGGAGAATAGGGCGGGGTGATGGAAGGAGGGAGAACGGGGCGGGGTGATGGAAAGAGGGAGAATGGGGCGGGGTGATGAAACGCGGGAGAATGGGGCGGGGTGATGGAAACCGGGAGCATGGGGCGGGGTGATGGAAAGCGGGAGAATGGGGCGGGGTGATGGAAAGCGGGAGAATAGGGCGGGGTGATGGAAAGCGGAAAAATGGGGTAGGGTGATGGAAAGCGGGAGAATGGGGCGATGTGATGGAAAATGGGAGAATGGTGGGGTGATGGAAAGCAGGAGTTTGAGGCGGGATGATGGAAAGAGGGAGAATGGGGCAGGGTGATGGAAAACGAGAGAATGGGGCGGGGTGATAGAATGGAGGAAAAATGGGGCTGGGTGATGGAAAGAGGGAAAATGGGGCGGGGTGATGGAAGGAGGGAGAATGGGGCGGGGTGATGGAAAGCGGAAGAATGGGGCGGGGTGATGGAAGGAGAGAGAATGGGGCGGAATGATGGAAAGCGGGAGAATGGGGCGGGGTGATGGAAAGCGGAAGAATGGGCGGGGTGATAGAAAGCGGAAAAATGGGCTGGGTGATGGAAAGCGGGAGAATGGGGCGGGGTGATGGAAGGAGGGAGATTGGGACGGGGTGATGGAAGGAGGGAAAGGGTCGGGTGATGGAACGCGTGGGAATGGGGCGGGGTGATGGAATGCGGGAGAATGGGGCGGGATGATGGAAAGCGGGAGAATGGGGTGGGGTGATGGAAGGAGGGAGAATGGGGCGGGGTGATGGAATGCGGGAGAATGGGGCAGGGTGATGGAATGCGGGAGAATGGGGCAGGGTGATGGAAGGCGGGAGAATGGGGCGGGATGATGGAAGGAGGGAGAATGGAGCGGGGTGATGGAAAACGGGAGAATGGGGCGGGGTGATGGAAGGAGGGAGAACGGGGCGGGGTGATGGAAGGAGGGAGAATGGGGCGGGGTGATGGAAAGCGGAAGAATGAAGCGGGGTGATGGAAAGCGGGAGAATGGGGCGGGGTGATGGAAGGAGGGAGAATGAGGCGGGGTGATGGAAAGAGGAAGAGGAGCGGGGTGATGAAAAGCGGGAAAATGGGATTGCTGTGCGCCGCATTTGCATGGTCATGGACGTCGCTCGTACGTCCATGATGCATGCGGCTGCCCCCCCCATTTTCTGTGGCCGTCAAAGTCAATGGCTCGACCCTCAGCGTCAAAAGCAAGGACACTAGGGGTAGCCATGACCACAGTAGACTAGCAGTGCAAACAGTAGGGTAAGGGTAGTGCAGTGAAAGAGGCGCTGTGCTTACCGGACGGGGCAGCTCGGGCGGCTCGGTAGTAGGGCGGCTCGGCAGCTCGGCGGATCGGCTACTGGGCGGCTGGGCGGCTCGGCTGCAGTGCGGCTCGGCGGCCCGGCGGCTCAGCTGTACGGCGTCTCGGCTGCTGGGTGGCTCGGCTACAGGGCGGCTCGGCTGCTGGGCGGCTCGGCTGCTCGGCTGTCCGGCTGCTCGGTTGCCCGGGCGGCTCGGCGGCTGCTGCAGGGCGGCGCGGCGGTCGGCTGCTTGGCTGGGTGAGGCGGCTCGGGCAGCTCGGGTGGTGGGCGGCGCTGCAGGAGGGGACGGGGCCGGAAGTGAAAGCGGCGGGGCCGCAGATGAGAGCGGCGGGGCCGCAGGTGAGAGCGGCGGGGCCGCAGGTGAGAGCGGCGGGGCCGCAGGTAAGGGCGGCGGGGCCATAGTTGAGGGCGGCGGGGCCGCAGTTGAGGGCAGCGGGGCCGCAGTTGAGGGCAGCGGGGCCACAGGGAAGGGCGACGGGGCCGCAGTTGAGTGCGGCAGGGCCGCAGGTAAAGGCGGCGGGGCCGCAGGTAAGGGCGACGGGCCGCAGGAAGGGCGGCGAGCCGCAAGTGAGGACGGCGTGGCCGTTTAAAGGGACGGCGGGGCCGTGAGAAAGGCGGCGACGGGCCGCTGCAAGGGCGGCGACGGGCCACTGCAAGGGCGGCGACGGGGCCGCTGGTGAAAGGGCGGCGGATCAGGGCCGCAAGGGCGGCTGATCTGGGCCGCGAGAGGCCGCTAGGGCGGCGCGACGCGAGCGTAAGGGCGGCGCGACGGGCCGCTAATGGCGACGCGACGGGCCGCTAAGGGTGACGCGACGGGGCCGCTAAGAAGGGCGCGACCCTAGGCGCGCTTCGGGCAGGGGCAGGATGCGCCCCGGGCAGGAAAAAAAGAATCGGTGGGCCCTATGAACAGTTCCCACGAGGGAACCTGCTCGATACCATGAGAAAATGAGAACGAGAATGAATGCACTATGAATGAAGCAGATACAAGTACTCATCCTAATTGGGTTGTACCCCCTATAGGATACCCCACTACAGCTTGCACAAAAGCATAAGTTATAATGTTCTGACACACCTCCATAGGCAAAGTGGGGAAAAACAGGGGGTCAAAAGACCAGTCAAGCAAAGCAAAGCAAAGCTCAGGGTGGATCACAAAGTGACCACATATTCTGAGCACAAGTTCAAGGCCATAAGGCCAGTTCACATGCATGATTACATATATATATAAAACTAGACAAGCAAGAGCAGGTATATATATATATATATATATATATATATATGTAACAGTACAAGTAAGGTCAAGAGGTGAGCAAGTGAGGCAAGACAGGGACAATGCCCAGCTGAGTGCAGAAGCGCTAATGATCACAAGGCGGAAGTGTCTTGGTGAAAACATCATCAGTGTTGGCCTTAGAGGCCACGTACGCAAGCCACAACTGTCCACGCTGCTGTAGCTTACGAGCAAGGAAGTAGCGGAGAGGAATGTGCTTTGTTCTGTGCTCCAGTCGCTGCTCTCGACACAAGGCCAACATGGCCTTGTTGTCTACGTACAGAACTGGAGGAGAACGAGGCGGCTCTTCGAGGTCAGTCAGCAAGTAGGTGAGCCAGCGAAGCTCCTGTGCAGCCATGGCCCCAGCGTAGATCTCAGCCTCACAACTTGAGCCGAGAACAGAAGACGAGCGAGTAGCCCGCCACGAGACAGAGCCGGAACCAGGGCTGAAGGTGTAACCCTGTGACGACCGCTGCGTAACTTGGTCGTCAACCCAAGAAGCGTCTGCGTGCCCAGTGAGGACCACTGGACTGCGCCCTCCAAGCACTAGCCCCATGCCCGACGTACTGCACAAGTAGCGCAACACCCTCTTCGCTGCAGCCATGTGCTCTGGCCGGTATCTCCCAGGAGCAACATAGCGTGCGAGAATGCTAAGAGGGTATGCAAGGTCAGGTCGTGTGCAGGTCATCAGGTACATGAGGCAGCCAACAAGCTCTGGATACGGGCCACTCGACTCTACGGACTCATCCGAATGCAGATCTGAGAGCGAGTGGCGAGTAGGCAGAGGAGTGGCCTGAGGCGAGGAGTACGTGAAGCCGAAGCGCTGAAGGACCTGCTGCACCATGTGTGACTGAGTCAGGGTAATGGTGCGGCGTGCTCTGTCCCGGGTGATCTGCAAGCCAAGGTAGCTGCGCAGTTCACCCAGGTCTGTGCACGTGTGTCTATTCTGCAGCTCGGACTTCACGTAGGCGAGTCCAGCAGTGTCAGCTGTGGCAAAGACCAAGTCGTCGACGTACACGAGGATATAGAACGGCGACTGAGAGGTGTCGGTGTGCAGAAACAGCGACGGGTCGGCAGTAGAAGGAGCAAACCCAAGAGCCGCAAGCGCAGTCCTCAGTGTGTCGTGCCACGCACGTGGCGCCTGGCGGAGACCGTAGACTGGACGCCGGAGACTCCACTGGGTACCATGAGGGAACGACTCAGTGAAGCCAGGTGGGCGGCGCAGTCAGATCTCCTCGTGCAGGCTGTCCTGCAAGAAAGCTGTGCGGAGGGAACGACCCAGTGAAGCCAGGTGGGCGGCGCAGCCAGATCCTACATTTTACCCCATCCAAACCCCGTCCAACGTTTTCCCGCGTCCAACATTTTCCCGCATCCAACGTTTTCCCGCGTCCAACATTTTCCCCCGTCCAACATTTAGCCCTGTCCAACATTTTGACCCGTCCAACATTTTCCCCCGTCCAACACTTCCCTCGTCCAATGTTTCCTCGAGTCCAACGTTTTCCCGCGTCCAACGTTTTCCCGCGTCCAGCATTTTGCCCCGTCCTACATTTTCCCCCATCCAAACACCGTCCAACGTTTTCCCGCGTCCAACGTTTTCCCGCGTCCAACGTTTTCCCACATCCAACATTTTCCCCCGTCCAACGTCCAACATTTTGACTTGTCCAACGTTTTCCACCATCCAACGTTTTCCCGCGTCTAACAGAAACCGCGTCCAACGTTTTCCCCCGTCCAACGTTTTCCCGCGTCCAACGTTTTCCCGCGTCTAACATTTTCCCCTGTCCAACGTTTTCTCCTGTCCAACATTTTCTCGCGTCTAACATTTCCACCGTCCAACATTTTACACCGTCCAATATTTCCGCCGTCCAACATTTTCCCCCGTCCAATATTTTCCCGCTTCCAACATTTCCCCCCGTCTAACATTTTCCCGCGTCCAATATTTTCCCGCGTCCAATATTTTCCCGCGTCCAACATTTTGCACCGTCCAACATTTTGGCCTGTCCAACATTTTCCCCCGTCCAACGTTTTCCCCCGTCTAACGTTTTCCCGCGTCCAACGTTTTCCAGCGTTCAACGTTTTCCCCCGTCCAACATTTTGCCCCGTCCAACATTTTGACCCGTCCAACGTTTTCCCGCGTCCAACGTTTTCCCACGACCAACGTTTTCCCTCGTCCAACGTTTTCCCCCGTCCAATATTTTGCTCCGTCCAACATTTTCCCCCGTCCAACACTTCCCCCGTCCAACGTTTTACCGCGTCCAACGTTTTCCCGCGTTCAACATTTCCCCCGTCCAACATTTAGCCCCGTCCAATATTTTGACCCGCCCAACGTTTTCCTCCGTCCAATGTTTTCCTCCGTCCAACGTTTTCCCCAGTCAAACGTTTTTCCGCGTCCAACGGAAACCGCGTCCACCGCTTTCCCGCGTCCAACGTTTTCCCGCGTCCAACGTTTTCCCCTGTCCAACGTTTTCCCCTGTCCAACGTTTTCCCCTGTCCAACATTTTTCCGCGTCCAACGTTTTCTCGCGTCTAACATTTCCCTGTCCAACATTTTCCACGGTCCAATATTTCCCCCGTCCAACATTTTCCCCCGTCCAACATTTTTCCGCGTCCAACATTTCCCCCCGTCTAACATTTCCCTGCGTCCAACATTTTCCCGTGTCCAACATTTTTCCGCGTCCAACATTTTGCCCCGTCCAACATTTTGGCCCGTCCAATTTTTTCCCCCGTCCAACGTTTTCCCACGTCCAACGTTTTCCCGCGTCCAACATTTTGTCAGAATGAGGAATGGATGTTCCATTGATGTTGGTTCGGGTACATATAACAAACCCTAACTTCTGTACCCCCTAAGACAAACCTCACTACAGGCTACAACATTTGACACACCCCCATAGCCTAAGTGAGGGGTGTCTAGCAAAAACAAAAAAGAGTACGGTCACAAGACCAGTCCAAAAGAAAACAAAGCTCAGGGTGGATCACAACGTCACCACACACTCTGAGCACAAGCAACAGTGGCCACAAGGCCAGTCCAAGAGATCACAAGTATATATAGTAAGTGTACAGACGAAGCAGGCAATAAACTGAAGTCTACGCATGACTAGAATCTGTGTCAACAAGGCCTAACTGCACACAACACCTCTGGTGGTCACAAGGCGGAAGCGCCTTGGTGAAGATGTCTGCAGTGTTGGCCTCGGACTCTACAAACTCGAAGCGAGCCTGTCCACGCCTCTGCAACTCTCGCAGAAGAAAGTACCTGACGTGAATGTGCTTCACTCTGCTCTCCATTCGCGGCTCACGACAGAGGAGGATCGACGCCTTGTTGTCAGTAAACAAGGTCGGTGCAGAGCTCGGCCGCTCACCAAGGTCGGCGAGCAAGAAGGTCAACCACCGCAACTCCTGTGCCGCCATGGCACCAGCGTAAATCTCAGCCTCAGCTGTAGAGGTCGAGACAGAAGAGGAGCGCGTGGAACGCCAGGAAACAGCTCCAGAACCCAGACTGAAACAGTACCCCTGAGTAGACCTGTGAGTCTCAGCGTCGTCAGCGTAAGAGGAGTCATAGTGACCAGTGAGTACGACAGACTGCTGCCCTCCAAGAACTAGCCCCACGCCTGATGTAGTCGCTAGGTACTTCGCCACCCTCACAGCTACCGTCCAGTGAACAGGACGGTGTCTCCCTGGCGCAACAAAGCGCGCAAGGATGCTGAGAGGGAAGGCGAGGTCCGGGCGAGTACAACTCATCAGGTACATGAGGCAACCCACAAGCTCTGCGTAGGGACCACTAGGCTCAAACGGCTCGTCAGGAAAGGGACCAGTGAGTCTGTGGTCAACAGCTAGAGGTGTGCGCTGTACGGTGGAGTGCTGAAGCCCGAACCGCTGAAGGACCTGCTGCACCATGTGTGACTGTGAGAGTGTAATGGTGCGAGCGGCTCTGTCCCTGGTGATCTGCAGGCCAAGGTAGTGGCGCAGCTCACCAAGATCAGTGCACGTGTGTCTCTTCTGCAGTTCGGACTTCACGTCTGCCAAAGCAACCCTGTCCGAAGTGGCGAAAACGAGGTCGTCGACGTAGACCAGAACAAAGAACGGTGTGGAGCCACGACGTACGAACAGCGACGGGTCGGCAGAAGACGGCTGGAACCCAAGGTC